TTAACACCACTTTTCACTGATGATTCTGGATTACAATAAAAGTCGCTCAAACCCGCGATATCTTGATTGACTTTTCCCGAGAATCCTGGATTACTATTGGATGAAGTTTCAACATTTTGGTCGGATTCAAGGTCGATAAGTAAGTTGTCGTTGCGTTCTATTGACCCTCTTTTTATATCTCTTTCGGTTGGGTTTGAAATCATGACGTTTTCGACAAACCGTCGACCTCGAGCAAACTCACTGTCATTCAATTGATCTGAGAGATCAATGTCTATCTCTTTTCTTGGTAAATTGACCGAGTCTTTCGAATCGAAAATTGAGTACTCGCCATAGTCTTTATTGGAGGAGACCGATAGTATCTCCTCGGAATCATCTGAAGTGCTCTTCGAGTCAGAAATATCGGGAATGTCAGGATTAATAAGATCACCAGATTCCCTACCTGGCTTTGACAAGGGATTTTGTTCATTCCCTTTATGGCGCCATTCATTTTCTGATTTCCATTGGGGATTACCCATTCGTTCTCTGGCATCTCCCGCATTCGATATCGATGCGTTATAACATTGTGCAATCTCCCCTTTTTTGATAGTGCTGGCGTTGTCCTCTCTCTCGAAGCCACGATCCCTATCACGCCTTGCGCAATCACGTATTTCATTCCACCTCTCCGAAGTTTGATTTTGATTTTCAAAACGTTGCGACCTCGTCTCAACGGTCTCTTTCTCAGAAGTCTCCGTCTCCTCGTCGCCGGTGAGTTTTACCCATTGACCCTGCTGAACTGCCCAATAGATCGACCTCTTCTGTTCTTGAATAAGTTCCAAGCAGACACCTTGACGTTCGTCATCCCAAGGAATATCATTGGACGGAGGAGGGCCCCATCCATTATCATCCTTATTTTTATTGACGGGCAACTTCTTTTCTTCAAAATAGATTGGAGAATTTGCATTTTTCAATTCGTTTGGATCCCAGGTGGGATTAGGTTGTTCGGGTTGTTTTTTTTCCGCATCGGTAGACCACTTTTTATGGCTTCCCCATGGTGACGCAAAGTCGACGTTCCGTGCGCTATGATCTCCGGCCTCGTGTTTCTTGGGCGAGAGAGCAGCGGCCTCAGAAGGTGTGGGCCATTCTCTGTGGTCCCTTTGAAGCGAAGAAGATCTACTTCTCGAGTAACTTGCCTCACTTGAATTTCTGACAAAAGAAGTGTTAACATATCCGGTGCTCTCCATAATTTCATCTTGCGACCTATCTTCAGAATGCTCGGACGTCCAGTGATCCCCAGCCCACTTATACTTGTGAGGAATTATTTGGTCCGATTCCATCTCTCCCCATCCTCCCAAATCCCTTGATGTATCGAGATTATCATCGTTCCATGATAAACTTTCCGATTGTTCATTTTCGTTATCCCACGCGGAGGGGTCATCCGCTGATCGCTCTGAAGGAATCGTTTCTTCTTCATCCCCTAAAGTTTTCTTTGTGATTTCATTGTAGAGCGGTTCAGGGGAAGATGAAATTTGCGCATGAATATTCTTTTGCAAATCATCTTGCTCTGAATCTCGCGAAGTTGAAGCTTCCATGGAGAACTCAGACATAGGTGACTTCAATATGGTCTCATCCCGACTCGCTTCCTGAACTGGGGATTCAACGAATTGACGGTGCTCAACTGTTGTCGGAAGTGGAGACTCATGAATCGTCGTCCGATCTACCTCGTATTTTTCTTTATCAAAAGTTGCCTTTTCCTGAGCGGGCACTGGTGGTGAGTCGGGCTTATCTGCGTTTTGCGTTACACTCACGCTCGAACTAGGCTGATCTTCCCGTTTTGAGTCAAAGGAGAGTCTTTGATTCGAGCGAGTAATCTTTATGTTTATTGAGGACCACCCACTCTGAGTCTTTTTAATCGGAGAAGATAATTCCGCCGGCGTGGAATATGAACTACAGCGGCTAGCCAAAGATCCGGTTTCGTCGAAGTCAGCATCTCTGGACTCTCGACGCGGTGAACCACTGTGTGAGCTATTTAGTGAATCCCGTCGATCAAAGTCGCCCAAGTTTTTTCTTAAGGTAGCCGAAGTCGAGGAGCATCCTTTGCCAAGCACCTTCTTGATTGCACTTTCTAGAACGTCAAAAGGTAGATTTAATTCCACAGCCAATTCAGGAATCTTACTTTTGGAGATGACCAAATCTTCTTCCTGATCAATATCATAATGGATCAATTTTTTTAAATTTTCTCCTTCGATTGTACATCTTAATGAGCCATTTGGATCATGCCGTTCGCCGGCGAATTGATGGTAAACAAAAGATCTCAATATCGTGTCAGTATCGTGAAACGCCATCCTTTCAAGGTTGTTGGTGTTACAGGCAAGCCAATGTACCCCTTTGGGATCAAATTTTCCACACGACTCCACTATAAATTCGGTGAGCGTGTGTCGAGAGTACTTCACCAAAAATCTCAAGCACTTGTCAGTAATATACGGACACCTGGTGACATTTAAAACCCTTAAATTTCTAGATGCACGTGAAATTATTTCTATCGAATGATAAGTCACGAGAGAACATCGAGAAAGACCAAATACTTCCAACTGCTTGCAATTAATGAACATGTTTTCAATCATGCCATCATTCAAGGGTAGATTCTCAAGCAACATCGTGCGCAAATTTCCACCTAGCGGCGTCATAAATCTATCATCTGGTGACGACCCACAGGCTTGAGACGTGCACCTCAGGTCCAGATGACATAATTCCTTCAAGGTACAGGCCGCCTTCAAGGATTCTATTGAAAGTACGTCACCAGATATGGATATTACTTTCAAGTTAGGATTGGTATCCGCAAACTGAAAGACGTTATTGTCAGTAAGCCCGGAACAATTCTGCAATGTCAATTCAGTCAACCGCCCCAATCTACTGGCCAAAATACTGAACCCATTGGCGGTCATCGATTCGGTGCAAAGCTTAAGAGAATTCAAATTTCGATGCCTCTTGGTCAATGTCTCTGCAAAGCTATCCGGTAGGTCGAATGCACCGTCCAGATCCAGTACACGAAGCTCAGATACAGAACGTATGATTGAATTTATGGATGTTCGCGTGAGAGACTTGTTGATCCCAATCACGTGAAACTCCTTGAGTGTAGGACAGTGTTGTGGAAATTCTTGTATATCGCTGTCAGTCAGATTCCACCCATATACCCTGACGCTCGATAAATTCTCACAAACTCTGACCAAATCCATAATTGTGCGAGACTTGGATAACACGCAAGTGCGCATCTTACGATGCTCTTGACGTAGTGATTTCAACACGGGTACAAAAGAGCTCATGACCTCATTCTCTGGAAAAGTCAATCAAGATATCGCGGGTTTGAGCGACTTTTATTGTAATCCAGAATCATCAGTGAAAAGTGGTGTTAA